GATATTTAAAGGAGGTCCATGGTGAAAAAAAGGTTGAGAATCACTGCTTTGGGGGTGGGGAGGTGAAAATCCTTCTCATTCAGAATGTAGGCATTTCAGAGGGGAAAAAATATGAAGTTATTTCCTCTTAACAGTTTTCCTTTAAATGTAAAAGTTAACTATTAGAATAATGATGACATATAGTTTATATAATATCAGCATCTCTGACTGCATCATGATTTCTATGCCAAATATTAGGTAATTATATGAGGTTCCCATATTGAAGTTTATAGCTGGATAGTATGCATTATTTTAGCATCTGTTTTGATTTTAGCATTTCAGTATCTTATAAATATATTCTACTTTTCCTACTTCTCTACTGTACTTCATCCTATTAATCTTTTAAAACACTGGTTATGTTCTATTAAGTTGAATCAGATAAATCTTAACAATGTTCTGTTATTATGATATTATGTTGCTTGCCTATTGCCTTTATACTCCACAGTCATTATTTATCAGGAAAATGTCCATTTTAAAATTCCAACTCAAACCAGCTCAACACTGACAAGGGTGCTGGTATTTACCTCCTGTGATTGCTTTGGCATTTTTTAAAGATGTAGTATTACTTTGATGGTAAAGTTGAAATATTTGAAAGATGCTTTAAACTCACTTATTTGGGGGGGAGGGTAAATGGCCAATGCTATTCTCAGCCAGGCCTTCCAGCAGGCTAAATGGTTATCTGATGCAGGCAGCATCAGATAAGTGAAGAGTTAATTTTCCCATGCTTTAGCCATATGACTGGCACATGATAGACTCCATTCTGTCATGTGAAGCTTGATGTGTTCTGAGTGGGGTGTTCTACATCCTGAGTTCATTTAAATTGTTTGAATTCTTTTTGGAGTGAAGGACAGTGCTGAATAAACAAAGGGCTGAAGCTAATTGCTTAGGCAGGACTTAATAGCAATGGTGCCCTGACAAAAACTTGCTAAGGTTCTCCATACCCAAGGAAATACCAAGATCCATCTTCATAAAGAATTATTTGTATAGTAGATAAAAGAAAAAGATGATTTTAATACTCAAAACTGCTTATTTGATTAGTATGTTTGATTATTTTTATTTATTTATTTTTGTCAATTGCTTACAAGATAATAGGTATAAGTAAAAACATAGTTGTGAATACATGGATACATATTTAAAAAAAAAAGAAAGAAACAATAGGACAGGGCTGGTAGGCACGTTGGTGCACTTATGCACGCCCCCTACAGACCTCTTAGGAAAGGGGTGAGGTCAATAGTAGACAGTCTAAGGTTAAAGTGTTTGGGGTTTGGGGAAGAAACCACAGAGTCAGGTAGAGTATTCCAGACATTGACCATTCTGTTGCTGAAATCATATTTCCTGCAATCAAGTTTGGTGCGGTTAACCTTGAGTTTGTATCTATTGTTTGCTCTTGTGTAGTTATGGTTGAAGCTGAAATATTCATTTGCAGGTAGGACATTGCATATATGATTTTATATACTATACTTAGATCGGACCGAAGGCGGCGTAGTTCTAGGTTGTCTAGGTCTAGAATTTCAAGTCTGGTAGCATAAGGAATTCTGCAACGAGTAGAGGAGTGGAGAACTCTTCTTGTGAAATATTTCTGGACTTTCTCAACTGTGTTAATATCAGATACGTAATGTGGGTTCCAGACTGATGAGCTGTATTCGAGTATTGGTCTAGCAAATGTTTTGTATGCTCTAGTTATTAGTGTCATATTACCGGAGAAAAGGCTATGTAAGACTAGGTTAACAACTCTTAACGCCTTTTTGGCTATGTAGTTACAGTGGACTCTAGCACTTAGATCATTAGAGATGAGTAATCCAAGATCCTTGACCCGAGTTTGGATTGTCAACAAGGTCTTGACTATTCAGCCTGTATTTTATTTTCTGATATATTTTTTTGCCAATATGTAGGACAGAGTATTTATTTGTTGAGATTTGAAGTTGCCATTTGTTTGACCATTCTGATACATAGTCAAGTTCTGTTTGAAGGGTAGCAGTATTGTCTGTGGTGTTGAATAGCTTTACATCATCAGCGAAGAGAACGCAGTTGCTCTTGATATGATCACAGAGGTCATTTATGAAGAGTATGAAAAGGTTAGTATCCCTGCTCACAATTTCATTTCTGTCTTGCAATGCTTTTCCTATTGTCCTTGTGCTTGACTTACATCCATTCATTTAGTGACTATTCAAAGCTACAACAGCATTGAAAAATGTCACTAATGGTCATTTTTCACACTTAAAACCATTGCAGGATCTCCTGGTCATGTGACCAAAATTCGGCCGCTTGGCAACTGGCATGTACTTATGATGGTTGAAGGCTCCCGGGGCCATGGGATCATCTTTTGTGAACTTCTGACAAGCAAAGTCAGATTCACTTACAACAACTGTGTTACTAACTTAACAACTGCAGTGATTCACTTAAGAACTGTGCCAAGAAAAGCCATAAAATGGGGCAAAAGTCACTTTAAAAATGCTTCACTTAACAACAGAAAATTTGGGCTCAACTATGGCTGTAAGTCGAGGACTGTCTGTATCCCTGCATTGCAAAGCTTTGTAACATGCTGTACATGCGTTAAGAAATATTTTAATACAATAGTGAAATTGGCATGTATAGCTAAAAATCAAAAGCAATTTCCAAGAGAGTTTATATATCAAACTAAAGTTCAACTGAAATATACGTCCCATTCCCCAAATTAGAAAGGCATGGCTGCAGTTAATATTTTCCCAGCCAGGTGCCTCTCAAGGTTTGTTGGGCTATGCTGTAATACTGTCTGGAAGATAATGGGAGTTTATAATTATAGCAGATTATGTGGTGTTATAGAAGACATTAGACTAGGAAAAGCCAAGATAAACCATGGTGTCATGCGGCTCTTCACATGGCTGCAGTGATTTAGGCCATGCTATCAAAATCTCTTGAAAAAGAAATATAATTCTTTTTTAATTGCTGCAATTACGTAAGCAAGCCAGAGTCCCCACACAGTCACATAACCATGACTGTGGCTACCTTCAGAAGATGATTCAAACCTAAATTCTTTTGTTGGGCAATCTCTGCAAACTGAAGTTTTATGTTGCAGCCCCTGCATTAAATAAACTGCAACAAAGCAAGTGGAACAAAACTAAAGCTACTTTCACAGTACAAAAATAGGGGGGAGGCTTGGAATTAAAGCAGAGCAGAGCTTCTGTTGGGACATGCTCAGAGTCCATGGAAGGGCAAGATTGTTTCCATGACAAAAATGCATGATACAGCCAAGTTCTCTACAGGAGCCAGAGTGTTTCTTCCCAGAGTACATTCCCAGAGAATATTCTTCCTTTCTGTTCCTTTTTCTTTCTTTTTAAATCTTTTTTTTTGTCCTTTTACAACACAACAATGCAGATGATAAAAAAATAAAGGCAATCGCTCACAAGTATACTCGATAAATGGGATGGTGGAAATGTTCGTCCAGCATTTCAAAAGAAACTAAATTGTATCATACCACAGGTGAGATCAAATTGCATTTATAAAAACTATAGTGAAAAAAATGCAGATAAGTCAGATAAAGAACTAAAACAGGACAAGAAAAATGAATGTGGTTTTGGTGCACTTATATTCTGTTCTAATTTTCCATTCTTTTTTAAACAACCATAAGCCTTCTCAGTTTTGTATTTATTTGCATACCATAGTTTTTTAATGCATTTTTTTTCTTTTACCAGAAGAGCCTACTATCTTCTGGTGTTTGAGAGTGATTTACAGTAAAACAGACATAAGAAGATTCAAGCATGCTGAATCTTTTGTGCAAATTCCTAGAACAAAGATATCCATAATGCAAACCAGTTCAAATACTGGTTTGAACTGTGGGCCAACTGTGGGGTGAGGATGGGGGTGGGGTGAAGGAGCCAATTAGTTATTTCCTGTGAGCCATACAACAATGGGGAAATCTAAATCTAACCACAGCAATACTTCTAAACTGTTTTATTTAAGTGAGAAAAAGCAGATCTGAAATTGCTAAACAAGTTGTAGACCAAGCCTTACCAATCTACCGCTGATCTTCCAGTCCTGAATAAAAGATTTCAATCTAGGTTTAGCCCATTCCATCTCAACACAATGCTTCCAGCCTCCTGCATCATGGAGATAAGCAGTCAGTTGCAGACTCCGACTTGAAGTTCAGCATGCCCCAGCTCACTACTGTGGTTTCTTCTTCCCAAGTATCAACCCTCCTGTCCCAATGACAAGGAAACACCCCATGCAAAACAACAAATGATAGGAAGGCCTCTGTTCAACGGGCCTCCCACATGTGCACCAGTTGGGCCGGTTCTGGAAAAAATTCAGCCTGCAAGGAAAGCACGCCCTTCTCTCACCGCATCGATCTGAAGAGCACCAAGTAACTGGTAATATCATCTCAGTGTAGGAATGACGTAGATGTCCTTTATGACCACAGCCAGCAACCAGCAGCGATTTTCCCCTGAGGAGAATTTGGAGCAGAGGAAAATTCTGTAGACTTGTTGCTTCCAGGAAGGCGCATTCTTCTACTTCAAGTTCTGAGCCTGGAATTTTTTTTTTTAAATAAAACAGAGATGCGGAAACAAGCCCTTTTGGCAGGCAAACACACTGCCAGATGGAGTGGGAGGAGATGGAACATTTCTGCACAAGTCCTAGCCCTTTGCCAGTAGGCCAGCAAGATTTAGAATCTTAGATCTCAATACCTCTACTAGCAAGTGCTAAACATCAAAAGCAGCTCCGTATGTTACCTGATACTTAGTGTAATATTTTCTTTCCCTCAAAATGGACATTCCCTCAAAGAAGAAATGCCACCTGACTCCTAAAAGCCTGAATCAATAAGAAAAGCAACCTTCACTGCCCTGGCAAAATAAAAATAAGGCACGTGCACCAGCAGTTGGTATGCACAACATGTAAAGATCAGTCGGGAGGTCCCATACTCTCTATCTAGGGCTTTGCCAAAAAAGGGGGAGAGTTTAATACAATTATCTCTTAACTGCAATGCTCTTCACTCTTAAAATAAAATTTAGGGCAACTCCGTGGAATCCATTCTCTGTGTGAAGATGATACTGTAGACCTGAAATATTTCTGTTACAAATATACAGGAAACAAGCAGAAATGTGAGTGCCACTAAAATTCAAAACAGCAGCAAACCTGCCCTCCAAGACCATAAAATTTGGTTTCTGCCAGCCAGAATAGCTACAGTAACCAGCCCAATTCAAACATTATCTATCTAGCACTTTTCTCATCATTCCTATTGTAACTTACAATACAAATACTAGACAAAGATCCTGTGAACTTGCCTCCTCTACTTTGACTCAGAAGAACCACAAACAGCTTAACTGCTCAGTTGTCATATTAAAAAAAGAAAGATATTACAGTAGACCATGTACTCTAGGAAGACCATGTATTCTAGAACAGGGGTCTCCAACCTTAGCAACTTTAAGATTTGTGGACTTGAACTCCCAGAATTCCTCAGCCAGCAAAGCTGGCAAAGAATTCTCGGAGTTGAAGTCCACAAGACTTAAAGTTGCCAAGGTTGGAGACCTCTGCTCTAGAAAACCTTCCACATAATCTCCTAGGTGAAGTGGTGAATAGTGCCTATTCAATAGCAAAGAAACATAAATTTTCTACCTTCTCAGAAGCATCAACTAAGTTCATTATATAATCACATTTGCCAAATCTCAGCATGGAATGTTTCTTGGGTTAAATCTTCAGTATGGATTTGCCAAATTTTCCTAGGACAT